GAAACCAGGAGGTGAAGGAGCTGAACAGAAGATTTTAAAGACAGCTTGAGAGGACAAAGTCAAGTATTATAATGAAATGTATAAAGACCTAGAGTTAGAAAACCAAAAGGGATGAACATGCTCAGCATTTCTCAAACTAAAAGAACTAAAGGAAAAATTACAATTTGAAGGATTCTATGGGAGTCCTGTTGTGGCGCAGTGGGTTAATTCACCAGACTGCAGAGTCAGTTTGAACTGCAAGGTTGGTGGTTCAAGCTCAGCAGCCGCTGCTTGGAAACCCTCTATAGGGTCGCTATGGGTTGGAACCGACTCGATGGCACTTAACGACAACAACATGGGCAAAATATTGAATGATACAGAAAACATCAAAAAAAGATGGATGGTATACACAGAATATCTGGACCAAAAAGAAATGGTCAATATTTAACCAATTAAAGAGATAGCATAAGGAACTCTGGTAGCGTAGTGATTAGGAGTTGGGCTGCTAACCTCAAGATCAGCAGTTCGAAACTACCAGTTCTGCGGGAGAAAAATGAGGCTTTCTGCTCCCATAAAGATTTATAGCCTCGAAAACCCTATACAAGGTTGCTATGAGTCAGAACTGACTCCATGGCACACCACAATCACGACCAAAGAGGCAGCATATGATCAAGAGTCAGTGGCATTGAAGGAAGAAATCCAAGGAGCACTGAAGGCATTGGCAAAAGAACAAGGCTCAGGGAATTGATGGAATGCAAATTGATGTCTTTCAGCAAACTGAAGCATCAGCGGAGGTACTGACTCATCTATGCCAAGAAATTTGGAAGACAGCTACCTGGACAACTTATTGGAAGAGATCCACAGTTGTGCATATTCCAAAGAGAGGTGACCTAATGGAATGTGGAAATCATCAGATGATGTTATTAATATCACATACAAGTTTGCTGAAGATAATTTAAAAATGGCTGCAGCAGTACATTAACAGGTAACCGCTAGAGGTTCAAGCTGGTTTCAGATGAGGACATTATTGCTGACATCAGATGAATCTTGGCGGAAAGGTGTTTACCTTTGCTTTATTGACTATGCAGAGGTTTTTTACTTGTGGATCATGACAAACTATGGACAGCATTTCAGAGAATTGAGTATTCCAGAATACTGAGTTGTGCTCATGAGGAACCTATATATAGACCAGGAGGCAGTTATTAGAGCAAAACAAGGGGATATTCAATGGTTTAAAATCAGGAAAGGTATGTACCAATGTTGTATTCTTTCTCAGTCTTTTTGCTAAGGAAATAACCTGAGAAGCTGGATTATATGAAGAATGTGGTATTGAGATTGGAGAAAGACTCATTAACAACCTGTGATATGTAGATACCAACCTTGCTTGCAGAAAGTGAAGGGGACTTAAAATACTTACTGATGAAGATCAAAGACCACAACCTTCAATATAGGTTGTACCTCAGTGTATAGAAAACAAAAATCCTCATTAATGGACCAGTGAATATAATACCATGATAAATGGAGAAAATACCGATAATGCAATCTTGCTTGCTGAAAGTGAAGAGGATTTAAAATACTTTCTGATGAACATCAAATACCACATCCTTCGGTTTGGGTTGCACCTCAGTGTAAAGAAAACAAAAGTTCTCATCACTGAACCAATAAACAACATCCATATAAGTGGAAAAAAGATTGACGTCAAAACTTAATTTTGCTTTGATCCGCTATTAGCACTCTTTTAAGCAGCAATCAAGAAATGAAAAGACAGATTGCTTTAGGCACATCTGCTGTGCAAGACCTCTTTAAGTGTTCAAGAGCAAAGATAATCAGCTTGAGAACTAAGGTGCACCTTGTTATTTCAGTAGCCTCATATACATGTTATAGTTGGACAGTGAATAAGAAAGACCTTAGAAGAATTGCATTGAAATATTGAAAGTACTGCCATAAGAACAAACAAAACTGTGTTAGAGGAAGTACAACTGGAATGCCCCTTAGAATCCAGAATGGTGAGACTTAATTGTTTTATACCTTAGATGTGTTATCATGAAGGAGTAGTCTCTAGAGAAGGACATCATCCTTTGTAAAGTGGAGGGTCAGTGAAAAAGAGGAAGACTCCTAATGAAATGGATTGGCACAATAGCAGCAGCAGTGGACTCACGTGTAGCAACAGTTGTGAGGATAGCGCAGGGTGAGGCAGTGTTTTGTTTTGTTGTGCATAGTAGGAATGGACTCATTGGTACCTAACAGATTCAGTCTAACAAAATATTCAGGGTCGTATTTTGACTCTTATGGATTTGATTTACTTTTCTTTAGCTTCAACCTGAACATGCATATGAGCAATTGATTGTCTATTCCACAGTTGGTCCCTAACCTTGTTTTGTCTGGTGTTATTAAGCTTTTCTACTCTTGCTTCTCATGGAGGTAGTCAGTTTGATTCCTGTGTATTCCATCTCATGAGGTCCATATACATAATCGCCTTTTATGTTGCTTAAAAAAGGTATTTGCAGTGAATAAGTCACTGGTCTTCAAAATTCTATCATGTAATGTTCAGCATCTTTTCTGTCATTGTCTTAGGTTTGGTTTTCTAGAGAAGCAAAACCAGTGAAACATAAATGTATATATATTGAGAGAAGTTTATTATCAAGGAAATGTCTTACAGTTGCAGAGTCCCAGAGATACCCAGCAGAAGAGAGAGGAAGAGCCTTTCCCAAGTGTCCATTTTATTGGGAGCAGGCCACACCCCCAAGGAAACATCCCTTTAATTGGTGGCTCATAGCCACTCATCATAGAGTTAATTATGCATTTATTAGGTTTCGTAGCCATGGGAATAAGCACATCTCAACTGTTAAACATCTGGAAATCTTGGCCTTGTCAAGTTGACACAAAGCCATTTTTCTATTGCAATCGTTAAAGCCATATTTTCCAATAACTGATCCTTCCTTTGCATTCCAATTACCAGTAATTGTCAGTACATCTTGATATCATGTTTGATCAGTATCAGGCTGAAGAAGTTGGTAGAATTCTTCAATTTCATCATCATTGGCTTTAGTGGTTGATGTGTAAATTTCAATAATAGTGGTTTTAACTGGTCATGTTTGTTGTTGTTGTTAAATACTGTCGAGTCAATTCTGACTCATAGTGACTCTGTATAGGCTTTCCAAGGAGCAGCTGTTAGGTTTAAACTGTCAGCTTTGTGGTTCAAAGTTCAGTGCTTATTCAACAGCACCACACAAGAAGTCTGGTCTTCTTTGAATGCTTAGGATATTATCCTGTTACAGACAGCTTTGTACTTCAAGATAGATCTTGAAATGCTCTTTGATGATGAATGCTATGCTATTCCTCTTGAATTTGGATGTGAAATTGACTGAGCTGTAGCTCTTTAGTCTCAATTCACAATGAGGAATATAAGGACGGTCAGGGTCAATTCAGGTGAGGCTTAAGCAAGTGCTTGGTGGTTCTTGAATTATTTTTTCTGTTCAGATTTTTATATTCTGTATTGATTGAAGATACTTTCTTTTGAAATACATTTTTAGAAAATGTTCTTTTTCCTGTGTTGATGGATTTTTGGAGGTTGGGACAAGCAGAGTCAGGTAGCAAGGGAGGTGCCAAAAATCCAGAGAAGGTGCTTTTACAGAGCTGCTGCGGAGCTCTGGATCTAGTATAAGGTGCAGGGTGTCAGTTTCCCCTCACCCACCGGTGGAAAAATCACGGTGTAAAGGAAAATACTGTGATTCCAGAATCGATCAGGGCTCGGGACTCTGCCTGCAGAGCACTCCCACCCAGGCTTCTTTCAGAGGGCGGGGCCACAGCCAGACTGACACAGTGAAACCTGCGCAGCGACATTTGAAAAAAGAGGAGTGGGGTAGTCTACACATGTTTTCCTCCTCTTCCTTGTCATGCCCTCTCCGCCCAGCATGGCCTCCTTCAGGCGGGTGACCACGTACCCCCAAAAGTGTCCAGCATTGAGCCCACAGTTTTCCCACAACGCAGAGAGGAGGATCCCCATTGGTCCCATGGACTGACCCTTGGCAGCTGCTTATGACATCTGACTCTGGGACCCAGCCCTAAAGTTGACCCGCGGGACCCTTTACTCCTACCACTGGTCAAACAGCTATGGTTTTATTTTTGTTTTGGAATGGTAGTTTTTTTTTCTGCTTTTATATTGTTTCTATTTTCGGTCCTTTTGATCACGCTTTTTTCCTGGGGGTGGGAGCTTTTTCTCCCTATGTTACCCAAGAAGAGACGGCAGTCGTGGCCATATAGCCAAACTACAATCATACCCCATACTATCTCACCATTGAAACAGAAGCCAATATCAGCTGCAAGGCATTACACGTGAAAAGGGAAGCCTATCTACAGATCATATCCACCAAGAGACTCTCAGCAAGCTTAACAGTACAGCAACATACATCTATTTAAGCATTAAAAATCCACCTAACTACTGAAAATGTCCAGGAAAACACAACAAAAGATCTCAAAACATGTACAAAAGCAGAAAAGACTAACTGAGACAAATGACCTGGAGGCAGACACACACAGTATTTTCAGTAGAAGAGCAGGTTTTCCATCTGCCTGAGAAGAAATTCAGAAGAATGATATAGAAACAAATTCAAATGCTCCGAAAAAGGGTGGAGGAAAATAAGGAAGAAGTCAGGCGCAATCAAACAAGATAGATACAGCATTGGAAACAATTCAAAACCTGCAAAAAGAGGTATAGATAATTAATAATAAAATATCAGAAATGGACAATACACTGAAAGGGCAAAAGAAAATGTTATTTTTCCAAATAGTTTGTACCATTTACAAAGGTTATAGGATTTATTGAGTGTACCTGATCTAAGTTTTTCATATTGATATTTGACAATGAGGAGACAATTAAAATCTAATCTTTATTCATTTTATAGTTTAAATGTAATGCTCTTGTTTAATACAGTAAAGTGTGCTAATTATTTCTTATAACTAAATATAGGTTACTTTGTAGAGGATTTTTGACATATTTATTATCCCTTTGTAAACTTTAGGGCTGAAAGGCAAAGGAATGACGCACTTTATAATGCGGAAGAAATGAGTAAAGCTTTCCAACAATATAAAGAAAAAGTGGCTGAAAAACTGGAAAAGGTAAGAGATAATTGTGTAAGTCAATATTTTGTATGGCTGTCACTATTCTAGAAATAAAATAGAAATAGAGTGTATTTTTTATAGTGAAATGGAGTGATTTAAAAAATCATTTGCACCACTCATGGGCCCCTGAAATATGAACTAGCCCTGAAGATTTAATAGGAATATTTAAGCGGGCATAGATGTTATTGTTGTTGTTATGTTGTTGTTGTTATTTAGGTGCCATCGAGTTGGTACTGACTCATAGTGACTCTGTGTGACAGAACAAAACACTGCCCAGTCCTGGGCTAACATCACAGTTGTTGCCCCAGTTGAGCCTACTGATAATGCCACTTGGCCAGTCCATCTTATTGGGGGTCTTCTTTTTTCTCTGACCCTCCACCTTACCAAACATGATATCCTTCTTCAGTGACTGGTCCCTCCTGACAATATGTCCAAAGTATGAGAGATGAAGTTTGGTCATCTGGGCCTCCAAGGGCACTTTCTAGCTGCACTTCTCCCAAAACAGATCTGTTTGTTCTTTTGGCAGCCCATGGTACTTTCATTATTTTCCTCTAACACCATAACTCAAATGCGTCAATTCTTCTACGGTCTTTCTTGTCCAGCATTCGCATGCATATGAGGTAATTGAAAATACCATGGCTTGGGTCAGGCGTACCTTAGTCCTCAAGTTAACATCTTTGCTCTTCAACACTTTAAAAAAGTCTTGTGCAGCAGATTTGCCTAATGAAATATGTCATTTGATTTCTTGACTGCTGCTTCCATGAGTGTTGATGGTTGATCCAAGAAGAATGAAGTTCTTAACAACGTCAATCTTTTCTCCATTGATAAGAATGTTGTTTATTGGTCCAGTGGTGAGAATTCTTGTTTTCTTTACATTGAGATGTAATCCATACTGAAGGTTGTGGTCTTTGATCTTGGTCTGTAAGTATTTTAAGTCCTCTTCACTTTCAGCAAGCAAGGTTGTAAACATCTGCGTATCACAGGTTTTTAATGAGTCTTCCTCCAGTATGATGCCATGTTTTTCTTCATATAACCCAGCTTCTCAGATTATTTGCTCAGCATACAAGTTGATTAAGTATGGTGAAAGAATACAACCTTGTCACACACCTTTTTTAATTTGAAACCATTCAGTGTTCCCATGTTCTGTTTGAACAACTGCCTCTTGGTCCATGTACAGATTGCTCATGAGCACAATTAAGTGTTCTGGAATACTCATACTTTACAATGTTGTCCACAGATGAAAGAGAGTTATATAGAAGAGAAGAGGATGAAAGATGCAACCCTGAGAAATATTTAAAGATAGGTGGAATAGCTTTTCAAAATGTTAAGATGTGAGCAAACAAGTTAGAGAACCAAGAAAGTATAGTGATGAAAACAAAGACAGTTGTTGTTCTTAAGTGCTGGAGTCAGTTCAAACTCATAGTTACCCTGTATAGGGTTTCCATATAGGAATGGCTAGTGGGGTTGATTCGCTGACCTTGCAGTTAGAAATCCAGTGCTTACCCTACACCAGGACTCCAAAGACAATGTTATTGTTATTAACTGCTGTTGAGTCAGTTCTGACTCACAGTGACCTCATATAGGGTTTCCAAGGATCGACTAGTGGGTTTGAATAACTGACCTTGTGGTTAGCAGTCCAATGCTTATCCTATAGCACAACACCAGAATGCCCCAAAGGCAATAGAGCACTTTTAACATATGTTGATCCTTAATCAGATGTTTTAGAGTGGTTAAGGACAATGAGGACTGAGACAGGGCTATTGATTTTTATAATGAGAGAATCATTAGCTAATATGTAGAGATCAGCTCTATTAAAATAGTAGGAACAGAAGACATAACTTGTGAAATGGGAGAAATGAGAAAGGAGACACTGTAGGTAGTTAATAGACTATTCTTTAAGATAGGTGAAGAAGAAAGAAGTGGGGAGTGGAGAGGTAGAAAGAAGCTAGGTCAAGGAAAATTTTACCTGAATATAGTAGGTTTGAAGGACATGAGCCAGTGGAGGAGGTGGCAAGGGGAGAGTGAAGATGTTGAAATTAAAGGAAATGGTAGCTGGTTCAAGAGTCTGAAGGGTATATATAGGCCCAAGAGCAGAGTAGATATTTTTTAATAGAATGAGAACATTTCTTTTCTTTAATGAAAAACAGTAGATTAGAATATAGTAAAAAAAAAATTAGTTATAAGAAAGAAGGGAAGTTGAAGGATTTTGGATGCAATGTTTTGGGTCTTCTAATTCAAGGAGCTCTGGTAGCGTAGTGGTTACGAATCGGGCTGCAAACTGCAAGGTCAGCAGTTCGAAACTACCAGCATTTCCGCAGGAGAAAGATGAGGCTTTCTGCTCCTGTAAGGATTTACAGCCTCGGAAACCCTGTACAGGGTCGCTATGGGTTGGAACCGACTCGAAGGCACTTAACAACAACAACATAATTTAAGATAGTACTGAGGTGATTTTTATAATATCATTTACTGGTAGGCATAACTCAAAATGAAGAAGACAGCTGTAAGCATCTATTAGTAATTCGAACATGGAATGTGCAAAGTATGAATTTATGAAAATTGGAAATTGTCAAAAGTAATATGGAACACATAAACATCAATATTTTAGGCATTAACGATCTGAAATGGGCTGGTATTGGTCATTTTGAATTTGGCAAATTACATGGTTTTCTATGCCAGAAATGAAAAACAGAAGAGGAATGGTGTTGCAGTCATTATCAAAAAGAACACTTCAAGATCTGTCTTGAAAAACAACACTGTCTGTGATAGGATAATATCCATACAGCTAAAAGGAAGACCAATTAATACAACTGTTATTTAAATTTACGTGTGAACCACTAAATCCAGTGATGATTAAATTGAACACTTCTACCAACTTCTTCAGTCTGTAATTGATCAAACATAAGTTGGTCCTTAAATCAAACTGATAAAGTGTAAGTTGGTCCAAAGAGGACAGATCAGTAGTTGGAAAATAAGGCCTTGGTAATAGTAAGAAAGCTGGAGATTGCATGATAGAATTTTGCAAGACCAATGACTTTTTCATTGTAATTACCTTTTTTAAGCAACATGAAAGAAGACTATATACATGGACCTCACCACATGGCAGATACCAAAATCAAATTGAGTATATCTGTGGAAAGAGACTTCTATATTACTCAAATACTCAAAGCTCCAAGCTCCAGATCGTCTGCCAAAACAAGACCAGGGGCAGACTGTGCAACAGACCATCAATTGATAATATGTAAGTTCAGGCTGAGACTGAGGAAAATTGAAAAAAAGTCCATAGAGCCAAAATATGACCTTGAATCTATTCTACCTGAATTTAGAGATTATCTGAAGAACATATTTGATGCAGTAGATACTAAAGACTGAAGACCAAAAGACTTGTGGGATGACATCTAGAACATCATACAGGAAAAAAGCAAAAAGTCATTAAGAAGACAAGAAAGAAAGAAAAGAACAAAATGGATGTCAGAAGAGACTCTGAAACTTGCTCTGCAGCATAGAGTTGCTAAAGCAAATGGAAGAAATGAGTTAAAAGAACTGAATAGAAAGTTCCAAAGTCAAATATTATAACAAAACATGCAAAGACTTGGAGTTAGAAAATCAAGAGGGAAGAAACATGCTCAGCATTCCTCAAACTGAAGGAACTGAATAAAAAATTCAAGCCTCACCCTGCAAATTGAAGGATTCTATGGGAAAAAATATGTAATGATGCAGAAAGCATCAAAAGAAGATGGAAGGAATGTACAGAGTCACTGTACCAAAAGGAAATGGTCTCTGTTCAACCATTTCAAGAGTTAGCATATGATCAATAGCTAATGATACTGAAGGAAGAAATCCAAGGTGTATTGAAGGCATTGGCAAAGAACAAGGCTCCAGGAATTGATGGAATACAAATTGAAATATTTCAACAAACTGAGAAAGCACTGGAGGCAAATACTCATCTATGCCAAAAAATTTGAAAGACAGCTACCTGGCCAACCAACTGGAAAAGATTTATATTTGTGTCCATTCCAAAGACAGGTGACCCAATGGAATGGGGAAATCATAGGAACATATCATTAATATCACATGCAAGTAAAATTTTACTTGATAATTCAAAGACAGCTACAACAGTACATTGACAGAGAATGCCAGAAGTTCAAGCCTGATTCAGAAAAGGATGTGGAACAAGGAATAGCATTTACGATGTTAGATAGGCCTTGACTGAGATCAGAGAATACCAGAAAGATATTTGCCTGTGCTTTGCAGAGTCGATTGTGTGGATCATGACAGGCTATGGACAACATTGCAGATGATGGTTGTTCTGGAACACTTAATTGTGCTCACGAGAAAACCTGTACATAGACCAAGAGGCAGTTGTTTGAACAGAACAGAACAAAGGAACACTGAATGGTTTAAAATTACGAAAGGTGCACAGACCAAGAGGCAGTTGTTGAAACCGAACAAAGGAGCACTGAATGGTTTAAAATTAGAAAAGTTTTGCACCAGGGTTGTAGTCTTTCACCATATTTTTTGAGTCTGTATGCTGAGCAGATAATAAGAGAAGCTGGATTATACGATGAAAAACGTGGCATCAGGATTGGAGAAAAACTCATTAACAATCTGTGGTATGCAGATGATACCACCGTGCTTGCTGAAAGTGAAGAGAACTTAATATACTTACTGATGAAGACCCAAGATCACAGTTCAACCTTCAGTATGGGCTGAATCTCAGTATAAAGAAAACAGAACTCCTCACCACTGGATTAATAAATAACATCCATATAAATGTAGACCTGACCCAGGCCTGACCCAAGTCATGGTATTTTCAATAACCTCATATGTATGTGAAAGCTGGACGGTGAATAAGGAAGACCGTAGAAGAATTGGTGCTTTTGAGTTATGGTATTGGAGGAGAATATTGAAAGTGCCATGGGCTGCCAAAAGAACCAATAGATCCGTTTTGGAAAAAGTGCAGCCAGAGTGCTCCTTGGAGGGCAAGATGGCCAAACTTCATCTCTCATACTTCGGACATATTGTCAGGAAGGAACGGTCACTGGAGAAGGATATCATGTTTGGTAAGTTGGAGGGTCAAAGAAAAAGAGAAGACTCCCAATGAGATGGATTGGCCAAGTGGTAGCATTGATGGACTCAAGTGTGGCAACAGTAGTGAGGTTGGCCCAGGATTGGGCAGTGTTTCGTTCTTCTGTGCATAAGGTCGCTATGGGTCGGTACCAACTCGATGGCACCTAACAACAACAACAATATAAATGTAGAAGAGATTGAAGTTGTCAAGGCTTCATTTTGCTCAGATGAACCATCAACACTCATAGAAGCACCAGTCAAGAAATCAAACTACATACTGCATTGTTAAATCTGTTGCACAAGACCTCTTTAAGGTATTCAAGAGCAAAGATGTCAGTTTGTGGACTAAGGTGTGCCTGACTCAAGCCATGGTATTTTCAATAACTTCATATGCATGTGAAAGTTGGACAGAAAATACGGAAGACCATGGAAGAATTGTTGCATATGAATTATGGTGTTGTAGGAGAATATTAAAAGTACCATGGGCTTCCAAAAGAACAAAGAAATCTGTGTTGGAAGAAGTACAGCCAGAATGCTCCTTGGAGGCTAGGATGGACAGATTTTGTCTCTCATACCTTTGACATTTTATCAGTTGAGGCCAGTTCTTGGAAAAGTATATCATATTTGGTAAAGTGGAGGGTCGGAGAAAAACAGGAAGACCCCTAAGCAGATGGATGTACACAGTGGCATCAACAGTGGGCTCAAGTGTTGCAACGATCGTGTACTGGGTGCAGGAGCAGTCAGTGCTGTGATCTTTTGTGCATAGGATTGCTATGAGTCCATACCAACTCACAACAACAATAACAGCATGTGTGGTGGGAGGAATTTTGGAAGCCTGAGATGAATGCTTATCATAGCATAGTTGTAATAAGGAGAATCAAGAAATAGCTAACACTTTCACAGGAAACATATAAAAAGAAAAGGACAGAATAAAAAATGACCAGTTAATAAAAAGAAATTAAAATAATTAGAGAGGCCTGAGCCAAGTATAAATACATCACAACTACTAAAGAATAAAAGAGTTTAAAGACCTTATCAACCACATTGCGTAGTAACGTCAAGATGAAAGCTTGTGTTTGGCCTCAAGTAAGTCATTTCTTTCAGTAAAATTGTAAGTACCACTTTTTGTTGACAGGTCCTGCATAGTTGGCTCCAACTCATAGTGACCCTATGCACAACAGAAGGAAGAACAGGCTGGTCCTTCTCTGTTTTCACAGTTGTTATGTTTTAGCGCATTGCTACTGTCACTGTATTATCTATTGGGGGTCTTTCTCTTTTTCACTGAAATTCCACTTTACCAAGCCTGATGTCTCTCTCCAGTGACTGGTCTTTCTGATAACATGACCAAAGTATGAGAGACAAAGTCTTACCATCTTCACTTCTAAGGAGTGTTCTGGCTGAACTACTTCCAAGACAGAGTTGTTCATTCTTCTGGCATCCCATGGTACTTTCAATATTCTTCTCCAATACTATAATTCCAATGCATTGATTCTTCTATGGTCTTCCTTATTCATTGCCCAACTGTCACATGCATATGAGGCAATTGAAATCTTAAGTGTGAGATAATCAGCAAATCACTCTTGACAACATTGTAGAAGACCCCTGTTGGAATGCAATATTATAGAAGGGATTCCTAATAAGATTATCTGTAGGGAGAATAATACACTTAGCAATTGTAATAGAAGGATATTCTTGGGGAGAGGAAGGAATTTAGAGAGAAGAGAGGAAAATGTAAAACAATTATTTTCGTACTATTTCCTAGGATTATCAATTCTAAATGTTCAGCAGAACCCTTTAGTTTGGTGAATGTAATAAAAGGTATCAACGGAAGAAGGGTCGAAAAGAACTCCCTACTCAGTCATATACTCCTTGCTCTCTAACCTGGGTACTTTGCTTTTATGTGTTTTACATTTTAGGCTGTGATTTCACTAAGTTTTTTGTAGCTAATATTTCAAGAATTGCTTCTGTAGTATTTTGCACTTTTAGTATCTTGAGTGCTGCGTTGTTACTGGAGTTACTACCTACCTTGTCCATGAGAGGCCAAAGTACTTTTGCTTTTAGGCGACAGAATTATTGTCCTTCTCTGTTATAGCCAGTTAGGATTTCTGGTCAGGTTGTAGTTGACATCCGTCTTCCTGTCCTTTGTTACTGCCATGGAATTTTACATTGCCCTTTTAGATACATTGGTACAGACTTAAACTTACACAATTCTTAGTCTGTTTTCTAGCTTATTTCAGATGTCACTATTATTAGTTTGAAATACCTAAAATTTATGACCACATTGTCAATTTAAAACAAATATTGTTTTAGGTTCAAGCTGAAGAAGAAATATTAGAGAAAAATCTAATTAACTGTGAACAAGAAAATAAAAGACTACAGGAAAAGTGTGGTATATATAAAAATGAAGTTGAAGTTCTGAAAGAAAAATTAAGGTAAAGTATCCTGTTGTGGTAAAGGATTTTTTGTGTGGAAATGGGGAAACAAACAAACAAACAGGGAAAAGAGTGATAAATATAAAAATGAAGTTAAATTCTGAAAGAAAAATTATAGCATCCTGTTGTGGTAAAGGATTTTTTGTGTGGAAATGGAAAAACAAAGCTAAACAAAACATTTAAAATTTTGTATATTATAATCTTTAATTATGTAGAAAGATAAAATTTGCAACTAAAACCATTTTCTTGGTATAAAGTTAGAAATTTAAATGTGGAGAAACATGCTCATGTTTCACATGTACTTGTAAATATAAAGTAAAACTGACAAAACGTATTTACTCTGTGTATTAAGTAGATAAAATGAACAGACATTATGTCCTAGTATAACCACATTAACTTTTTAGTAAAATATGTATACTACCAAATGCTCAAATTAAAAAGAAATCATGTCATGAAGGATCATCTACCCCAACGTCTTCATTTTTTATCAGTGAAGGAAATGAGACCCAGAGAGCGCTCATTATTGGACTAAGAAAGACAGACCAAGGATGAGAACTTTGACTTCTGTACTCTCTCCATTGTTTCATGTTGCCTGAAAAAAACTGAACTCTGTCAAGTATCATGGGTTAATATTAATTCGCACTTGTTGCCTCAGACTCTGATCTAAAAAGAAAAGAGAATAATCAGAATAGTTAGTTTGTCCAATTTAAACAATATTTCTCAGCAGTGGTACATTTAGTATTTTTGCATAGGTGGCAGGGACAAAAATACCAGGGTAAGTATAAAACTATTTCTAGGGTTCCACTTCATATTTTCATGAATTTATTCCAAGCAAAACATTTAAACATGTCTCTGTGATGATTGGATGACTATAGATAAGCTCTCTCAGTAACACACTTGTGTTAGTTTCTTTTTGTTGTTAATGTTGTTAAGTACCGTTGAGTCAGTTCCGACTCACAGCAACCCTGCACAGGGTTTCCGAGGCTGTAAATCTTTATGGGAGCAGAAAGCCTCATCCTTCTCCTGGTAGTTTCAAACTGCCAACCTTGAGGTAAGCAGCCTGATTCGTAACCAGTAGGCTGCCAGAGCGCCGTAGTTTCTTTAGTGTGCCTTTTAAGAAAAGGTCCAGTGAAAACAGTGGTTTCTAAAGGGATATGCTGAGCCAGTTAAATTCAAGGCAGAGAGGTCAACTCAGAAGATTATGATGACTAGTTTTTAATTCTAGAGGAGTAATCTTTATAGATTTTCTTGAAGGACAGAAGATAGTTACTGGGGTTTAGTAGGAAGAAGTTTTAAGAAAATGGAAAACTGCAGTGGTGAGAAAAGGGCCAGGAAAGTTGAGCCAAGGAATTTTTTTCCATCACAAAAGTGATCCTGCTCATCCTTTCAGGGCAGCAAGGGCTTTCCTAGGAGAATTTTGTTGGGAAACCTTACACCGTCCACCTTCTAGCCATGATCATGCCCCTTCAGACTGATTTTGTTCCCAGAAATCAAAGAACTTTTCAAAGGAACACGGTTTGAGTCCCTCCAGAATGCTAGAATTATTGTTTTAATGTGATATAAATTGAAGAGCCCAGAAAACCTTCAGGGAAGTTTTGTTGTTGTTGTTAGGTGCCATCGAGTCGGCACCGACTCATAGTGACCCCAGCAGAACAAAATACTGCCAGATCCTGGGCCACCCTCACTACTGTTGCCACGCTTGAGTTCATTGATGCTGGCACCTGGCCAGTGCATCTCGTTGGGGGTCTTCCTCTTTTTCTCTGACCCTCCACTTTACCAAACATGATGTCCTTCTCCAGCGACAGGTCCTTCCTGAAAATATGTCGCAAGTATGAGAGGCGAAGTGTGGCCATCTTGGCCTCCAAGGAGCACTCTGGCTGCACTTTTTCCAAAACGGATCTATTGGTTCTTTTGGCAGCCCATGGCACTTTCAATATTCTCCTCCAACACCATAACTCAAAAGCATCAATTCTTCTGTGGTCTTCCTTATTCACTTTCCAGCTTTCGCATGCATATGAGGTTATTGAAAATACCATGGCTTGGGTCAGGCGCACCTTAGTCCTCAAGCTGACATCTTTGCTCTTCAACACATTAAAAAGGTCTTGTGCAGCAGATTTGCCTAATGCAATACGTTGTTTGATTTCTTGACTGCTGCTTCTACGAGTGTTGATAGTTGATACAAGAAGAATGAAGTCCTTCACAACTTCAATCTTTTGTCCTTTGATAAGAATGTTTATTGGTCCAGTGGTGAGGATTTTTGTTTCTTGACATTGAGATGTAATTCATATTGAAGGCTGTGCTCTTTGATCTTCATCAGTAAATATTTTAAGTCCTCTTTACATTCAGAAATCAAGTTTGATCATCTGCATATCGCAGGTTGTTAATAAGTTTTCCTCCAATTCTGATGCTGCGTTTTTCTTCACAGAACCCAGCTTCTGGTATTATTTGCTTAGCATACAGGTTGAATAAGTATGGTGACAGAATGCAACCTTGTCGCACACCTTTTTTAATTTTAAACTCTTAAGTGTTCCCATGTTCTCTTCGAACAACTGCCTCTTGGTCCATGTACAGATTCCTCATGAGCACAAAAGTGTTCTGGAATACTCATACTACGCAGTGTTGTGCATAGCTTGTCATGATCCACACAATCGAAAGCCTTTGTGTAGTCAATAAATCACAGGCATACATCTTTCTGATATTCTCTGATTTCAGCCAAGATCCATCGGATATCAGCAATGATATCCCTCTTTCCACGGCCTCTTCTGAATCTGGCTTGAACCTCTGGAAGTTCTCTGTCAATGTATCTTTGCAGCCATTTCTATATTACCTTTAGTAAAACTTTACTCGCATGGGACATCAAAGAGATTGTTTGATGATTTCCTCATTCCATTGGGTCATCTCTCTTTAGAATGGGCATAAATATGGATCTCTTCCAATCAGTCGGCCAGATAGTTGTCTTTCAAATTTCTTGGCAGAGATGAGTGAGTGCCTCCTGTGCTACCTCACTTTCTTGAAAGATTTCAGTTTTGATTCCATCAATTCCTGGTGCGTTGTTCTTTGCCAGTTCCTTCAGTGCACCTTGGACTTCCTCCTTCATTAACATTTGCTCTTGATCATATGCTACCTCTTGAAATGGCTGAACATTAACCATTTCCTTTTGGTACAATGACTTTGTGTATTCCTTCCATCTTCTCTTGATGCTTTCTGCATCATTCAATAATTTGCCCATAGAATCTTTCAATAATGAAAGTAGAGGCTTGAATTTTTTTCTTCAGTTCCCCAGCTTGAAGAATGCTGCACGTGTTCTTCCTTCTTGGTTTTCTGACTCCAGATCTTTCACATTTTGTTGTAATATTTGACTTTATCTTCTGGAGCTGATCTTTGAAATTTTATGTTTGGCTCTTGTACCTCCTCATTTTTTTAATTTGCTTTAAGCAACTCTACGCTGGAGAACAAGTTTCAGAGTCTCTTCTGACAACCATTTTGACCTTTTCCTTCTTTCTTGTCTTCTCATTAACTTTTTGCTTTATTATGTATGATGTTCTTGATGTCATCCACAACTCTTCTGGTCTTCAGTCTTTAGTGTTTAATGTATCAAATCTGTTCTTCAGATGATCTGTAAATTCAGGTGGGATATATTGAAGGTCATATTTTGGCTCTCATGGACTTGTTTTCATTTTCTTCAGCTACAGTTTGAATTTGCATATGAGTAATTGATGGTCTGTTTCACAATCTGCCCCTGGCCTTTGTTTTGACTGATGATATGGAGCTTTTCCATCATGTCTTTCCGCAGATATGGTCAGTGATTTCTATGTATTCCATCTGGTGAGGTCCATGTGTATATTCGTCTCTTATGCAGCCTAAAGAAGCTATTTGAAATGAACAAATCATTGATTTTGCAGAATTCTATCATGCATTCTTCAGCATCATTTCTATCAGTAAGGGCATGTTTTCCAACTACTGATCCTTCCCTTTTGCTCCCTACCTTTGCATTCCAATCACCAGAAATGTTCAATATATCTTGATTGCATGTTTGATCAATTTCATATTGAAGAAGTTGGTAGAATTCTTCTATTTCATCCTCACTGGCTTTAGTGGTTGGTGTGTAAATTTGAATAATAGTGGTATTATCTGGGCTTCCCTGTAGGCACATGGATATTATCCTATCACAGACAGCATTGTACTTCATGACTGATTTGGATATGTTCTTTTTGACGATGAATGCAACACCATTCCTCTTCAATTTGTCATTTCCAGCATAGTAAACCATGTGGTTATCAGATTCAAAATGCCCAGTACCAGTTCATTTCAGCTTACTAATGCCTAAGATAACAATGTATATGCGTTCCCTTTCATTTTTGATAACTGCCAATTTTGCCAGATTCATACTTTGTATATTCCATGTTCCAATTTTTAGTGGGTGTTTACAGTTGTTTCTCTTCATTTTGTGTTATGCCCCATCAGCAAATGACGGTCCCACGAGCTTTACTCCATTCACATCATCACGGTCAACTCTACCTTGAGGAGGCAGCTCTTCCCCATTCGCATTTTGAGTGCCTTCCAACATGAGAGGCTCATTTTCCGGCACTATATCTGACAGTGTTTCTCTACTATCCATAAGGTTTTCAGTGACTAAATATTCGGAAGTAGTTTGTCACTCCTTCTTTTAGTCTTTCTTCATCTGGAAGCTTATCTGAAACGTGTCCACCATGGGTGACCCTGCTGTTATTAAAATATTGGTGTCAAAGCTTTCAGAATCACAGCAACTCACAAGCCACCACAGTACGACAAAGTGACAGACGAGTGGTGGGAAGTTTTAGAGAGATGGAAATAACACCTTCAGAAGTGTATAGACCTGGATGGTGGATATATCAATGAGCACTAGTTTTGCATCTTGATATTTTTGTTTAATAAAGGTTTCTATGATTTTACAGCACTGAAAGTGCTCAATCATTTGCCTAATTTTCCAAGAAATTTGAAAAACAGCTACTTGGCCAACT